CACTGAGCCACCCAGTTGTCCCTAGAATAGAGTTCTAAGTAGCTCATTTTGTAAGAAAAATCTTAACTCTAATTTAAAGATTGTTTATTCATTTAGAGAAAGGAGGGGGACCAGAGAAGGAAAGAAAGTGGGGTTTCCGGAGGAGAGGGAGAAAGAGAATCTAAAGCAGGCTCCACACCCCCCAGCACAAGCCAATGCAGGGTCTGTCTCACGGCCCTGAGATCATGACCTGAGCCGAAATCAAGAGTCAGACACTCAACCCGCTGAGCCACCCAGGCGCTGCATTAACTGTAATTATATATATATTATATATATATATGTATGTATATATATATAATATATATATATATTTTAGATTTTATTTATTTATTCCTGAGAGACACAGAAAGAGGCAGAGACACAACACAGGTAGAGGGAGAAGATGTGGGACTTGATCCCAGGACCCGGGGTCACAACCTGAACCAAAGGCAGGCGCTCAACCACTGAGCCACCCAAGCGGTCCACTTTAATTTTTTAAAAGGAAGACCTATATACTATGTATAATCTCACCCAAGTTCCTTAAATTTTATCTTTCTACATTCTCTTTGGCCACATTGTAGGCATTTTTGTATAATTCTAAACATTGTATATGATTTTTCATTCTACTTTAATTAATACATCATAAACCTATTCTCTGAAATACAGTGTTCTTATAATTGTCTTTATTTTTAAAGATTTTATTTATTCATGAGAGACACAGAGAGAGGCAGAGACACAGGCAGAGGGAGAAGCAGGCTCCATGCAGGGACCGGATCCTGTGTCTCCAGGATCAGGCCTCGGGCTAAAGGTAGCACTAAACCCCTGAACCACCCGGGCTGCCCAATTTTTAAAAAATTTAAATAACATAACAGTAGATAGGTATAACACCATTTTTCTTGCCAAGATAATTTTTCAAGGTTGCATTTCAGAGAGATTTCATTGGGAAATAACTATTTTGAGCTTGTTAGTTTTTCCATGAAAGACAATGCAAAGGTATATTTTGGTTTTGTAAACTCCAGTCTGTTTTGCTTTAGCTTGATTATATAATGTGATGGAATTTAACTCAACTACTGACCCAGCCTCAGGAGTTGAAATGAGTTTACTTTTACCTTTTGATCTGTTTTCTTGTAAGAAGTAAACTCTAAAATAATCTTTTCTGGGATCCCTGGGTGGCGCAGCGGTTTGGCGCCTGCCTTTGGCCCAGGGTGCGATCCTGGAGACCCGGGATCGAATCCCACGTCGGGCTCCCAGTGCATGGAGCCTGCTTCTCCCTCTGCCTGTGTCTCTGCCTCTCTCTCTCTCTCTGTGTGTGTGTGACTATCATAAATAAATAAAAAAAAATTTAAAAAAAAAAAAAATAAAATAATCTTTTCTTGAGGCACCTGGTTGTTTCATTCAGTCTGTTTAGCATCTGCCTTGGGCTCAAGTCATGATCCCAGGGTCGAGCACATGTGCTCTCTCAAATAAATAAAATCTTAAAAAAATATTTTCTTTATCCCAATGTAACTGTGATACTTAGTTTGTAGTAAGTATACACCTGAACTACACATCTGGATATGCTCTTTACTGTATTGCCGTGTTATAAATTTTTAATTGTACCTCAATAATTTGCAAGTTACATGACGACAATGAATTTACACTCAGGCTCAATAAATATATTAAGTTGAAGGTATGAACATAAAAATATTTTCTGTAATGTTCATCATTGGTCGAAATAGCACTCTAATAGTTGAATTTTGGGGGGTTTTTTAGATTTTATTTACTCATTAGAGACCCAGAGAGAGAGGCAGAGACATAGCCAGAGGGAGAAGCAGGCTCCCCACTGGGAGCCTGATGCAGGACTCAGTCCCAGGACCCCAGGATCATGACCTGAGACAAAGGTAGATGCTCAACCACTGAGTCACCCAGGCGTCCCAAGAGTTGGATTTTAAAGTGGGAGCTGCGGGGGATCCCTGGGTGGCTCAGTGGTTTAGCGCCTGCCTTCAGCCCAGGGTGTGATCCTGGAATCCTGGGATTGAGTCCCACATCAGGCTCCCTGCATGGAGCCTGCTTCTCCCTCTGCCTGTGTCTCTGTCTCTGTCTCTCTCTTTCTCTCTCTCTCTGTGTCTCTCATGAATAAATAAAATCTTTAAAAAAGAAAGTGGGAGCTGCCTTTTTGTTAGTAAATACAGAGCTATGATAATCCTTTTTTTTTTTTTTTTGAGCTATGATAATCATGTTCGAAAAGCTTTAGAGGAGTCCCTGCTCTTGGTGCTAATTGTCTAGTGATACTGTTTGCTCAGTAGCAGAGGCATATGGCAGGTCCACAGGTTGCTGAATTGTTTCAATTTTTGTTAAATAAGGTCAGTGCCACAGTTTTGTCTTGACACTTATTTTTTCTGGGACGCCTGGGTGGCTCAGCGGTTTAGCGCCTGCCTTCAACCTAGGGCATGATCCTGGAGTCCTGGGATTGAGTCCCACATCAGGCTCCCTGCAGGGAGCCTGCTTCTCTCCCTGTGTGTCTCTTATGAGTAAATAAATAAAATCTTAAAAAAAAAAAAACAACTATTTTTTTTCCAAGTATTGTAGGAGTTCTTGCAGGAAAAAAAAAAAACTATATAACTGGGAAACTCCTTCAGTCCCCATCCACTGGTTTTGTCAGTTGTTTCCCTAGAGGCAATCCCTCTTAACTGTTCAGTTTGTTCCTCCACACCTTTTCCTTGGAAAGGTTCAAATGTCGAAAGTAAGGCTTAAATTTTGAGAAGAGACTCCTGGTCTCCCCTTTAGTGTGACTCCTAGATTTTTCTATTTGTGTCTACCTTCACATAATGGTCCTGGAGAATATGCTTCGGGAGTGTGTTTACGTGCTGTGTTTTGTCAATTCTAAGACTCACTATTATCTTACGTGCTATTAAGAAAGAAAAACTGCTCTTGTAACTGTAAAATACTGGATTGTAAAACAATATGATTTTTAGAGAAGTTGAAGCATGTGGTTGAGGGAATGCCTGAATGGATGAAATAAGTGATGTGCTGTGATTCTGTATTATTTTCTGCAACTTGCTTTGTCACTTAGTATTTCCTGTAGGTGCTTCATTTATACCATAGTCTGAATAGATCATACTGTTTAGCAGTTTCTTTTTTTTTAATTTTTTTAATTTTTATTTATTTATGATAGTCACAGAGAGAGAGAGAGAGAGAGGCAGAGACACAGGCAGAGGGAGAAGCAGGCTCCATGCACTGGGAGCCCGACGTGGGACTCGATCCTGGGTCTCCAGGATCGCGCCCTGGGCCAAAGGCAGGCGCCAAACCGCTGCGCCACCCAGGGATTCCCTGTTTAGCAGTTTCTTTATTGAGGAACTTGTAAATTGTTTTACCATGACAAGAAAATAGCTGTATCCCCCCACGTCTGTATATTTAGGAGAGTATCACAAGTGGATCACAAGAATTGGAATTACTGAGTCATGGGGCATGCACATTTTTAGTTTTGAAACAAATTGCTGAATTGTCTTCCAAAATATTTAACTGTATACTTCAACATTAGTATAGGAGAGTCAGTACCTCTTTGTCCCATTCTTACCAAGTCTTGATGTTACCTGACTTTGTTTGACCTATGTGGTGGCAGAGGCTTTGTATCTAATGGAAACCATATGCATTTCCTTGATTAGTGAGGTCGGGGATCTTGGGTTGCTCATTGGCAACCTGTTTCATTCTCCTCTGAGTTTACTGTTCATAACCTTTAATCCACATTCTTGTCTCATCGGTAATTTTATTTTGGTGACTACTGTGTGCATGGATAAAATATGTAGGCAGTATATACTATTTTCTATTTTTTTTAGGTGGTAGTCTCTTTTGTTAGAACCAGCCAATGATTAAATGTATCAAAGAAGCAGAACTATTCTCTAAGGATTTCCCATTTTACCAGCACCCACTTTCATATTGCTTTGAATGTTGGTGGTAGTGAAGTCTTTACAGGCCAAAACTGGCTTCACTCTGCATTGCCCATTGGAAACCTGCTAGAGCCAACCATGGTATGAAGCAGGGAAAAGGATCTGATAGCCATCATCGATACTATCCCATTTCTTCTGAAGTAGCAGTGGACTCCCTACTTGATGAATAGACTGAGAGGTTCAGTGGTCTCACATCTAGGAAAGGTCTCAGAGGAGATTCACACCTCTCCTATCAGAGCCCCTTCACCACATTGCACATCTCAGTGGGATGGATGCATTTATAGCATTTCAAGGTACGCATAATCTCTTATACATGATTATACTAAAAGTGACTGATAAAAAATTATTTTTTCTAAAGATTTTTATTTATTCATGATAGTCACAGAGAGAGAGAGAGAGAGGCAGAGACACAGGCAGAGGGAGAAGCAGGCTCCATGCAGGGAGCCTGACGCGGGGCTCGATCCTGGGTCTCCAGGATCGTGCCCCGGGCCAAAGGCAGGCACCAAACCGCTGCGCCACCCAGGGATCCCAAAAAATTATTTTTTTTTAAGATTTTTTTTATCTTTATTTATCTTTTAAAAAGGCAGAGGGAGAAGCAGGCTCCATGCAGGAAGCCTGATGCAGGACCCGATCCTGGAACTCTGGGATCACACCCTGAGCCAGGAGCAGACACTCAACTGCTGAGCCACCCGGGTGTCCCCAAAATTATTTTTTATAAACTGTTTTTAAAAAAACGATCCTCCTGCAGTTTTTGATAAGTGTAGAAGATATGAAGTGGAACAGTTTGTGTCTGTTAACTTGACAGATGGGTTTCTCTGTAGAAGTTTGAACATAAGTATCGATACTTGGCTTCATGAAAAAAAAATCTCTGCATAAAAAGTTTCTATCTTAGGCTCTGACTATTAAAATCTAGTTTTTGAAATAAAAATGTCACCATAAGATTTGTATCTGTCGCAGGGAGTGTGTGACATACCTCACAGTGGAAGCATAGGACACTGAAAATACTTTTTTTTTGTTTGCAAATTCTAATTGTTTTCATGTTCCTTTATCTTACAGAAAAAGATGGCAAAGCCTTTCATCCAACTTATGAAGAAAAATTGAAGCTTGTGGCACTGCATAAGCAGGTTCTTATGGGTCCATATAATCCAGACACTTGTCCTGAGGTTGGATTCTTTGATGTGTTGGGGAATGACAGGAGGTAACCGTGTTTTGTTGTATAATGAATTTTAGCAAGAGTGATGTTGAGAAGAGTGCAAAGCGAATTCGTTAAGATGGAATCAGCTGGTTCCTTAGCTTTAGAGTGAGACTGAAACAGACATTTTTGCTTACAGCTTCTGGAGTCTTCAGATGTGTATCTGTTTTTGGCTTGGAGATGTTTATGGATAAATAATGTGGAAGAAGTTTTCTCATCTGATTATGAACATAAGACAAGTATTTGATTCATTTGATTCTTCCTAAATAACATTAATAGCAGCCATTTGCAACATACAGTCATTGATTTCCTTACTGGGACAGAAGTATGACAGGAAAGAATGCACTGGGAGCTGTATTTGGTTAAGACTAAAATATGGTGACGGAAAGTCAGACTTCGGTGCTCTTGCTTGTATGGAAATTATCAGCAGTGCAGCTAATCTGTAGTTCACAGCAGCATGTTTGGATTGTATGTGGCACATCTAATTTAGGAAATCAGTGATACATACTTGTTGAAACTTGAGTTTTGAGCCTTTTGCTTATGGTAGAATCATCCTTTGTTTTAGTTGTAATTGAGAATTGTTCATGTTTAGGTTTAAATTAAATCACATTCGTAGTCACTTAGGAAGAAGCGGTAATAACTTTTCTTGTTATTTCTTCCAGGAGAGAATGGGCGGCCCTGGGAAACATGTCTAAAGAGGATGCCATGGTAGAATTTGTCAAGCTTCTAAATAGGTGTTGCCATCTCTTTTCAACATATGTTGCATCCCACAAAATAGAGAAGGAAGAGCAAGAAAAGAAAAGGTGAAGTTTGATGGCATGGCACACTTTATTCCTGTGGAGCCCCAGTCCTGATGCCTTTGCCTTATGGAGTATCTATTCTAGATCACGTAACCCCACTGCCCTTGGATCCCCACTTCTTTTTTTTAATGCTTTTCTTTTTTTTTTAAGATTTTATTTAATTTTAGAGACAGATCTCAGGGTTGAACAGGGGGAGGGGCAGAAGGAGAGAGAGAATTTCAAGCAGACTGAGCACAGAGCCTAATGTATGACTCAGTCTCATGACCCTGAGATCACAATCTGAGCCAAAATCAAGAATCGGATGCTTAACCGACTGTGCTACCGAAGCACCCCTGTATCCCCCTTTCTTACGGCAGTTGTTCAAATCTGCTGGTGTGAGCAGGTATTTGTACTTGGAGTTTGAGGGGCAGGGGCCTACTGCTATTGTGTGGCTATCCCTTTGAAAGGAACCGCCTTTCCACCATGGCAACATTCCTCTTGTCCTGGTTACACTGAGGTTTTGAGCAAGCTCCACCATTAACTCAGGCCCCCTCCCCAACCTTCAGGGCTGGAGACACACCCTTTGCCTTTGTTTTCCTCAAGCTTCTACAATGTTATGCTCCATATCATGGCTATCACCTGTACTATGTGATTATTCATATTGGCTCTGGCTCCCACATGGCTTATTAATTATTTCCAGGGGGTAGGCACGTATGCTGCTGAATAGACTGTTTATGTTGATGGGATTTTTCATCATGACTGTGAAATCCACAGCATTACAGTTAACACCTTTGTTTTCTTTTTAAGATTTATTTTATTTATTTGAGAGAGTAAGTATGTATGGGCAGGAGGGGGGCAGAGAGAGAGGGAGAGAGAATAATCCAGTAGACTCCTTGCTGAGTGTGCAGAGCCTGAGGGGCTTGATCCCACAACCCTGAGATCATGACTTGAGCCAAAACCAGCAGGTGGACGCTTATCTGCCGAAGCCACCCAGGCACCCCTGGTTTGCACCTTATTTATCTAGAGGTTATATTTTCAATAACTTTGATTATCTGAAGTTTTTGAGTAATGAAAATGGCAGTATAAAACCAGTTTTCTCAGATTATATTACATTTACTTAGGAACCATTGGTTCTCTGATTTCCTTTCTTGACCTGAATTGGAAATAGCAAAAACAGCCTGACAGGAAGAAGACAGAAACTATAAAAAATCGACGCAAGAATTATAAACTGTAGCAGGCCTCTGACATGGAGCCTGCTTCTCTCTCTGCCTGTGTCTGTCTCTGCCTCTCTCTCTCTCTCATGAATAAATAAATAAAATCTTAAAAAAAAATTATGTTTATCCAAAGGAAGATTGTTTTTATCCAGAGGAGAAGTTTTGATTTATTTTAAAGATTTTATTTATTCATGAGAATACACAGAGAGTAGAGAGAAAGAGGCAGAGACACAGGCAGCGGGAGAAGCAGGCTCCACGCAGGGAGCCTGACGTGGGACTCGATCCCAGGTCTCCAGGATCACGCCCTGGGCCAAAGGTGGCGCTAAACCGCTGAGCCACCCGGGCTGCCCAGAAGTTTTGATTCTTAATGGCAAATTGAGTATTTAAGTTATTAGTCTTCTTAACGTGTAAAATTACATTTTTCCTTTTAAAAATCTTTTGTCATGAGATGAAATCCACCTAGTACTCTGAAAGCATTTAAGATTAGACTCCTTCTGTCGTACAGGCCTAGCTCTGGTTGTGGAATATCCACCAACTGTGACAGGTTAAAAGTAGGTCATATTACTGCTATGTGTTGAGCCCTGGTTGTGGTTCAGATGTGCTGTTAATCACTTCTAGGAGTTTGGGGAGAAAGCGGGGTAAGCCGAGCAGTGCTTGTGATAGGACTAAGAAGTCCTATCACAGAGACCTCTTGCATCTGCTCCTCAGCCATCCTGCCCTCCATACCATGCTCAGCGAGGCACTCCTCATACAGTGGGGTCTGTGTTCCCCCAGGAGAGAGGCAGAGGGCAGGCAAGAGCTGGGTAGGGACTGTACCTGCATTACCAACTCTTCTTTTTCTATTTTAAATGCAGCCCTTTGACATTTTTTTAAATGTCGGAAGCAACATACAGATATGTGTAATATAAGTATGTTTCATCTATGGCAGTATGTGAAGCACAAACCAAAAACCATCCCTCCCACATTGCTTTTAATTGCTCTCTTCTCTTGATAGATGATAAAGGACACATTTAAGGTGTATTTTTTTTTTAAGATTTATTTATCTGAGGGAGAGTGCGAGTGCATGTGGGGTCGGGGCAGAGAGAGAAAAAGTTTATTTCTGCTGAGTGTGGAGCCTGATGGAGGGGCTTGATCCCAGGACCCTGACATCATGACCTGAGCCGAAACCAAGAGTTGGGATGCTTAATCGACTAAGCCCCCCAGGTACCCCCAGGTCAGATGTTTCTTTGCAGACCTTTTCCTTTGCATTTCCTTACTCTTTTCATTAAACAAACATATTAAATGTCTTTGCATACTAGGCCACATAGTCGTTTTTTTGGCTACATGGCATTTCAGAGTACTTTATGCATTTCTAGACACATGCTTGTTCTTTCTAGCACTGTGCTCAGCTCTGAGAATGAAGCGCTGGGAGATAGGCAGCCTTTGCCCTCACAAAGCACCGAGTTTAATGGTAGGGCAAATATATTACCGAATTTCTCACACAAATTTAGTTACAACCACAATAAACAGTGGGAAGGGAAAGCCTGTGACACTCTGAGTGTAGGTTAGGGAGACCTTCAGGGTGTGGGCACATCATTTCAGTGGTCTCTTACTGATGGACACCGTTCTCTCTTGCTGCGCAGCTGTAATTATTTCTGCGTTGTTCTTGTGGATTGTGAGATCTACCCCACAGGATAAATTTCTACTAGCAGAGTGGGTGCATTTCAGATTTCGATAATATGACCATGTTGTTCTCTCAGAGTTGTGTTTTCACTGGGAAATAAAGTCTTAAGTTATTTTAAAGCAGGATTCTTTATACAGGGCTCACTGTGTCTGTCCTTGGCTTGTAGGAAGGAGGAGGAGGAGCGAAGGCGGCGCGAAGAGGAAGAAAGAGAGCGTCTGCAGAAGGAGGAGGAGAAGCGCAGGAGAGAGGAGGAGGAGAGGCTGAGGCGGGAGGAAGAGGAGAGGAGGCGAATAGAAGAGGAGAGGCTTCGGCTGGAACAGCAGAAGTAAGTGGGTCAGTGGCTGGTCTTGAAGCATGAGAGCTGGCCCACCATGGCCTCCATGTGCCACGCTTGTGGGAGACTGCTATGATGTGTGCTGGGAGGCGCACCCGTGCCAACTCCTGTCATTTGTGCCAGTGATTGTCGTGTTCCCAAGACGGCCTTATCTTCAGCTTCAGTGGGTTGCAAAAAGGAAAGGGATGGGGTCAGCCGCCAGATCCAGGGACTAGAGCGGGAGCTGAGGTTGCTTGCTGGCTCTGTCCCCAGGTCCACAGAATCTCGTCTTGCTTCCCCAGCTTGTGTGTCTGTCTCACCCCTTCTGTTCTCTGCCTTGGTGTACACAAGGCTGGCCCAGTGTGGATTTGTGTGGTCTGAGTTTTCATGCATCTGACAGATTGGCCAGAATCAGAGAGAGAGATCCAGTTAGTCCTGGGACAGAGGGTCTGCTTGGTGTGGCCTCTGTCAGGCATCTGTTCCTCATACAGAATTTGGAACGTGAAACCATTTCTCCTTAGGATCGTGAGAGCAGCTGTGTCAGGGGGCTGGTCCTTCAGGAGGGAGTTGTGGGTACAGGGACAAATCGATGGACAACCATGTGTGTGGGAAGAAGATCTGAGGTGTGGGGGTGACCTGGCATCTAGAGGAAACCAGAGAACATGATGGTCCCTTGGTGTCTCGTCATCTCTCAGCAGCTCCTCAGAGGAGCCTCATTCCACTTTGGGGAGAGACTAGGAATGCTACACCTTTAGGAGAGGGTGGCGCCCTGGGTGCCCAAGCCCAGTGTCATGTTCTTTTCAGGAGTTTGTGAGATTTTGCTTAGTCTCATCTATCTACTTATTTATTGAGAGCTGGCTTTCAGGTCTTTTTTCAGTTGGTCACCTGACTGAGGTAGGAATTGTGTGATGTGTGTAGGAGAGAAAATGAGATTTATAACAATAGAGAGTACAGTCTCTCAACCGAACATGCCCAGTTACTATTTTCAGTGTTGATCTTGAAGGCAGGCTTTATTTTTTTTTTTTTTTTTTTTTTTTTAATAATTTTTTTTAAATTTTTTTTATTTATTTATGATAGTCACACAGAGAGAAAGAGAGGCAGAGACATAGGCAGAGGAAGAAGCAGGCTCCATGCACCGGGAGCCTGACGTGGGATTCGATCCCGGGTCTCCAGGATCGCGCCCTGGGCCAAAGGCAGGCGCCAAACCGCTGCGCCACCCAGGGATCCCTGAAGGCAGGCTTTAAATTAAATGCGAGAGACCCTCAGTTTCCTGGCTTTTTTTGACACTTACCAAGGCCACTTGCAAGACATTCTCTTACTGCTCTCTGAGTGTCCAGGTGGAGAAGCCGTGGCCAGCAGTTGAGTGTCTCAGCTTTGCCATAGATAGCAGCACAGCCTCTTACAGCATCCTGGTGAAAGTCCAGGCTGACCCCCGACTGCCTAGACTTGCATTCAAGCTCTGGCTGCTGCTGGCAGTGTGATCTTGGGCAAGTTCCCGAACGCCTGTGCCTTCTCCTCTCTGAAGCCTCACCTCTGTCGTGGTCGTGAGAGCAGTAGTGGCTTAGTACCCTGGGACACATGCTGACCAGTAGCCATTACTGGGTTAGTCATTTCACAGAGTGACAAATTATAAAAGTAAATAACAGGAACATTTTCTTTTGCCATGAGCCATCTCCCACGGTCAGACTAGTGTGTATTTTCTGATATTTTAGGCAGCAGATCATGGCAGCTTTGAACTCACAGACCGCTGTGCAGTTCCAGCAGTACGCAGCGCAGCAGTACCCTGGCAACTTCGAGCAGCAGCAGCTCCTCATCCGCCAGCTGCAGGAGCAACACTACCAGCAGTACATGCAGCAGCTCTACCAGGTCCAGCTTGCCCAGCAGCAGGTGCGCCCACCCCCTTCCAGCGCCCAACCTGTCCTTCCGCTGGGACCCATGCTCCTTTGTAATGGGTGCTAATAAATTCTGCCTCCTTTAGCCTTAAAGGGATAATTTCAGGGGACTTTTATGAAGTGAGACTTTCAGGGTGCACAGCAGTTTTGAAAACAATAGATGATATTAAACCAAAAAATGATGTGACCACTGCTCTGTTGTGATTGAGCATCTGGAGGTTGTGTGGACCAGCTGTCATTCCAGTGAGTCTGGTTGAAACTCTGATGGTGGTCCTGGCACCGTGAGGACTGGGGTAACTGGTTTTAGTTTGACAATGTCCTTCAGGTGGTGGGCTGTCAGGTGGTGGCTGCCAGCTGCCAGTGGGAGGACCGGTCCCCTAAGGCTATCGGCTGATTTTGCAGGCTGGTCACCTTGACGTTTGCGTTAGGTACTGTGGCAAGACTGCTCCCATACACCACAGTGGTAGTCTTCCTCCAGCTCCCCTACCCCCAGGTACTTTTCTTCCAGACAGGAGTAGGTGGTTAAAGGAAACCGCGTTGGATGAGGGGTGGGGAGGAGGGCAGTTAACACTTGCATTTGGTCCTGGCTTTGCCATTATCTTGGGTTTTTTTTTTTGTTGTTGTTGTTGTTTGTTTTATTTTCTAAAGATTTTATTTCCTTTATTAGAGGAAAGCATGGTGAGAGAGCATGGTGGTGGGTGGGGGCAGAGGGAGAGGGAGAAGCTGACTCCTTGCTAAGCAGGGAGCCTGATGTGGGACTCCATCCCAGGACCCTGAGATCATGACCTGAGCCAAAGGCAGGCGCTTAACCCACTGAGCCACCCAGGCGCCCCCGCCCTCCATCTTGTTTGATATCAAGTTACCTACTGCTCTGATTTCTCTGCCTTTCTCTCAATGGGAATGGGATAAAATCCTGGTACCTGTTGTGTTCACCTCACTGAACTCTTAGAGGACTAAAATGAGAAAAATAGTTGCTCTGTGAAAATATTGCATACGGGGACAGCTGGGTGGCTAGGCAGTAAATTAAATGGCTGCCTTTGGCTCAGGGCATGATCCCGGGAATCCCGGGATCAAGTCCTGCATCAAGCTTCCTGAATGGAGCCTGCTTCTCCCTCTGCCTGTATCTCTGCTTCTCTCTTTCTCTCTGTCTCTCTGTCTCTCATTAATAAATAAAGTCTTAAAAAAAAAAAAAGGAGGGATCCCTGGGTGGCGCAGCGGTTTGGCGCCTGCCTTTGGCCCAGGGCGCGATCCTGGAGACCCGGGATCGAATCCCACGTCGGGCTCCCGGTGCATGGAGCCTGCTTCTCCCTCTGCCTGTGTCTCTGCCTCTCTCTCTCACTGTGTGCCTATCGTAAATAAATAAAAAAATTTAAAAAAAAAAAAAAAAAAAGGAAAAATGTTGTGTACATATAACAGGTAACTGATCCTGTGTTCATGTTTCACACTGGGCAGAGGTATTAATGCCTTCGTAGTGTGGCTCTAACAAATTTTTACTCCTTTTCACTCAGAAAGCAGTTTTGAAAAAAAAAAAAAAGCAGTTTTGATCTGTCAAACGGAGGGAAGAAAACATCTGACATTGTAGTTGCTCAACATTTCTTGTCAGATGAAGTGATCTTGCTATTTTGCCAACTTTTAAAAATTCTTTGAAAATTAATATTCTTAAAATCCCTTTTCCCTTGAGTCTTTAGCATTAGTGAGAAGTTAAAAAGTACTGTATATTTTGTCTTGTTCATGAGAAGATGAAAAAGATGTCAAACCAGAGTATATTCAAGACAGTAAGTGGCATTTGAGGGATTTATTTTCTGTCCTCGAAACCCTGTTTCTACTTCAAGCGTTACCAGCCTCTTCCTGCTTTGGTGATGGTTCCAAGACAATTGTCCAATAGGATAGCTCCCATGTCCTGCCCTGTTGATAAGTCACTGTCATTTCGTGAAAGGAAAGTTGGTCAGATAGGGCAAACCGAGAATCTGTGGAAGAGGATTAGAAAGATCTTAAATCCATAATTTAGATTATAGTGATGGAACTCAGTTTTACACATTGATTAGTGGTCTCTGGGAATGGAGAAGGAAAGGTGCTGGGAAAGGAACAAAGGAAACTTCAGCCCCATAAGTATTGATTTTTTTATAAATACTGTGAAAAATGACAAAATGTTAATACTTGTTCATTTGGAGATGTGGTTATCTGGGTGTTTGCTGCTGTGCTTTTAAAAACTTCCCACAGTACAGATGAGAGACAATGTAAGTAAACCATTATGATCTACTGCGTATAATAGAAGTTGATTTGAGGGCAGTGGGATCCCCAAGGGAGTTGTTCACTCTGCCAGGGGATTTCAAGCACGGCCTCCCAGAGAGCAGCCATCTGAGCTGGACCTGCTGATCATCAACAGAAATATTTTTCTTGCTGTCCTGTTGTGCAGTGAATTTTCTCAGTCTGTCGAATTATTTTGGTTGTATGCACTTTTTCTGGAGGCTGGTACTCTTTCTAGAAAATCGATATGGGAATAACTGAGAACCTGGGCCTTGGAAAGAGGTACTTGAAAATCTTACCTGTGTTACCAATCTGCATTAGCTGCACAAAAAGCGTCGTTCATTGAAATAACTGGAATGTAGATGTATGTTAAGTGTGTGTACAGATATGCAGAAATATGTCCTTATCCTAAACCATGAGATTACAAAGGCTTTTTTCATATATTTTCTTTGTTTCATTATTTTATTTTTACCTTTAAAAACATTAGCTAACTTTTGACTTGATGTTTTTTTTTAAAGATTTTATTCTAAAGTCACTTAAATTCCCAAATGTTCAACAGTAAAATGGATAAATTTTGTACCTTCACAATGGAATATCATAGCAGTGCAAACAAAATACAATTACTTAAAACCTTATGGATGAACGTTATAAAAATAATGTCAAATAAAAGAAGCCAGACACAAAAAAGAACATTTATTATACAATTCCATTTATATTGAAAATCAGGGAAAGCAAATCTATAGGAGTATAAGTCAGAATAGTTGTTAGCCCTGCAGCAAAGATGGGGGTGGGTATCTGGAAAGGAGGATTCTGGGATGCAGATCATGCCTTGACTGGTATTGGTTATGTGGATATGTATGTTTTATGAAAAACAATCAGGCTGTACATTTGTGTATTGGTACTTTATAATTCAAAGTTTTACCGAAAGTTCCTTAAGTAATAACACTTAGGTACATCTAGTAATATTACTATCCATCTTGATATAAGAGGGGAATGTCCCCATAGTTGCCCTTTGTGTTTAAGATGTTTTTACTCTTCCGTTTTGATTCAGGACATTTTGATTCCATTTTTATGAATGCACGTTTTAATCATAATTATGTAAACAGTGATGAATTTTCATTGAGAAAATATTTTGACATCAAGCTCCATTTTACAAGCCTATTTTAAATTAGGTTGGTATTTTTTTATAACATGAGTAACAGTTTTCAGTTTAGTTGTAATGAGTTTTTCTGTATATAGCTTATGGTGAAGATTTAATTTTTGGTTAATTTTGTCCATATTTGATTTGTTGATTACTTTGGGGGCCTATATCAGGTCTTACTAATTTACAGTTTCTACCTTCATGAATTTTCCTCTGTGATCATTTCTTTCTACCAAGTTTTATTTTCCTGAGTCAGATTTTGTGTATCTGAATTTTATCAAGATTTTTTGTCAGTTTTATTTATTTATTTACTCATTCATTCATTCATTCATTTGGGAGACAGGGTGGAGGGGGCAGAGACATAGGCAGAGGGAGAAGCAGGTTCCCTGCAAGGAGCTGGATGTGGGACTCAATCCCAGGACCCCCAGATCAGGACCTGAGCTTAAGGTAGACACTCAACTGCTGAGCCACCCAGGCGTCCCTTATTTAAAAACAAATGTTACTGTGTTCAATTTTTGCCTTTAATTGTTTTGGGGGTTGATTATTTCTACCTACTATCGTATTTAGCCGTTGGCTTGATATTGTCCTACTGATAATCATCCAAAATAAGATAAAACTGGTAAAGTTTACTAGTAATTTCTTGAAGCACAGTGCTTTGGTAGGACAAAAACGTGGGGTCAGCATGCATTCCAGGGCAAGTGTGCCAACTGTTAACCATCCTGGTCAGTGTGTCTTCACTGTTTTTCCACTTGTAGGCAGCCTTACAGAAACAGCAAGAAGTAGCAGTCGCAGGGGCTTCTTTACCTACATCATCAAAAATGAATGCAGCGGCACCAGGCGATAGGATGTCAGTTAATGGACAGGCCAAAACTCACACTGACAGCTCAGAGAAAGAACTTGAGCCAGAAGCTGCAGAAGAAGCTGTGGAGAATGGACCAAAAGGTATGGTTTGGTAAATGTGTTTATCCAGATGTCATTATTGAAATTTATGGAAAACAAGTCAGGAGTCTGGCTTTGGAGAGCAGTTACATATTTGTGAGAGCTGAATGCTTCTGTACCCTTTTAAGTCTGAATCTGATGCTTCTGGTGACTCTTAGAATAGCATAGAAGAGCAAGCCAGATGTCTTCTGAACACTTTGAATTGTGTTATTGGTTACCTATTGCTGCGTACCAAATCGTACCCAGATTAGCAGCTTACAGTAACAACAGTTTATTGTCTCACACAGCGGTTGAGATTCCTGGGGTTTTTGGAATTGAGGAGCAGCTTAGCTGAACAGTGGTGGTTCTGGTCCCATTTGGTTTTAGTTGTGATGCCGGCCAGGACTTCACTAGAGGCTCTACTTCCAGAGGGTTCCCTCCCATGAGTTGCAAGATGGTACTGGCTGTTGGCAGGAGGCCATGTTTCCTGCCTTGCAAAAAGCCTCTTCTTCAGACTGTCTGTCCTCAGTATAGTGGCTGGCTTCCTCAGAGCACATGAACCAAGGGAACAAGGCGAAGTGGCAGTGTCTTTTACGCTGTAACTTTGGAAGTAATACGTTGGCACTTCCACTGTGTTCTGTTGGCCATATGTACCAACCCTGTGCATTGTGGGTAGTGACCTTTCAAGTGCGTGAATACCCAGAGATGAGGATCACGGGGTTATTAGCAGGGGCATCTTGGAGGCTACCTACCATATACTATGATGTATTTTTTGTTTAAAGATGTATTTATTTATTTTAGAGTGAGAGAAAGTTGTAGGCACAAGTGGGAGGGGCAGAGGGAAAGGGAAAGAGAAACTCAAGCAGACTTCCTACTGAGTTTGGAGCCCAGGGCTCAATCTCACAACTCTAAGATCATGATCTAAGCCAAAACCAAGAGTTGGTTGCTTAACTGTTTCACCCAGGTCCCCACAATGTTTTGTTTTTTTTTTTTTTTTTAGATTTTAAAAAATTTATTTATTCATAAGAGACAGAGAGAGAGAGAGAGGCAGAGACACAGGCAAGGGAGAAGCAGGCTCCATGCAAGGAGCCTGATGTGGGACTCGATCCTGGGTCTCCAGGATCACGCCCTGGGCTGAAGGCAGCGCTAAGCCGGTGGGCTACCGGGGCTGCCCCCACAATGTATTTTTTGAGACTAAAGTACCAGAAGATAATTTAGCATTTTTAGAGGTCTAGCTTTTTATGGGCTGCTCATTCATTCAACAATTGGAAGATTTTCTGAGTGCTAGGGGGAAAATGTGAGGCAGAATGACACATGAGGTGTAAACTATAGCTGCAGTAAGGACTGTGGTGGGGAGAAAGACACATGTAGGTTCAGAGCACGTGGTGTGGGGACTGTGAATGAGTCGCAGAGGTCAACAGAGGTTTCCTGGGGAAGAGACGACTGAGCTGAGAGAGCCAAAGCAAGGCTAGGCTTTAACTTAAGAAGGAAGAGAAGAGCACGGCAGCTATGGTGGTTGGGTAGTGGTATGGTTTGTAATAAAGACAATTTGAGACATCTGCTTTGTCTTTTTTTTTTTTTTTTTTTTTTTTTTTGACAGAGACTAAAGTCAAAGCCCAGCTTTCTTTGTCCAGATCTAAAAGTGAATTTATTCCTAAGTCCAGATCTCCCTTCTTTATTAGGTTTCCCTGGCTCCAGCTAGGAGGTTTCCAAGGTCCAGTTTTAAATCCCCATGTGTAATCAGAGTGTTGAAAAAATCACTTCTAAGATTGTGGATTGCATTTGTTACTTGAAGTGGTGTGGTGACCTTTGAATACCTAGTGACATTGGTAAATGTTGCAGTTCAGGGGGAGACTTTGCTGGGAAACATGTAAATTCCTCTAAGTCCTTGATTTTAAGATAGACCAGATAATACTTGGTGCCTCACTGCAGCCAGGCAGGTGTCCTGTGCAAGTCAGCTGCCTGCGGGTGAAGGCTCATCCTCTTCAGCGTGTATAATTCCTGTTGCTTTTAGAATCTCTTCCAGTAATAGCAGCTCCGTCCATGTGGACACGACCCCAGATCAAAGACTTTAAAGAGAAGATTCGGCAGGATGCAGACTCGGTGATTACAGTGGGCCGAGGAGAAGTGGTCACTGTTCGTGTCCCCACTCATGAAGAAGGATCATACCTCTTTTGGGAATTTGCTACAGACAATTATGACATTGGATTTGGGGTGTACTTTGAATGGACAGACTCTCCGAACACTGCTGTCAGCGTGCATGTCAGCGAGTCCAGTGATGACGACGAGGAGGAGGAAGGTAGAGCTCTTGGTCCGTACTGACAAGTTCTGGGTTGTGTATTGGCAAAAATGGCTTGGTTTGCATGTCAGCCACCCTTGTGCTTCCTGATTTACACTTTTGGACAGAGATTCATCTCTTCATAAGTGGGATCTCAGCTGAAAAGGCTGAGAGACAGGCCAGCCTCCTGGAAGGGACTGGGGCCCGAACGTGACCTTGCTTTAATGCTAGGCAGGTCTGTCTGACAGTGTGTTATGCTACGGCTTCTCACTATTGTGTTACTTCCAGCATTTTGTGTTGGAAAGCCAAATGTGAAAAAAAGAAAAAAAAAAGGAAAGCCAAATGTGCAAGATAGTTTGAAAAATTTTAAAAGAGCAAGCAAGAAATTCTGCCAACTCTGGAATTTATTTAAATTTACATTTCTGATATTAGCTTTTTAAGTCGTTGCTCTAAAGTTTTTTTTATGTAAATACAGAAACTCATACCAGAACATCATACCTTAAAAAAATAAAAAATGTCAGCTGTTCTTCCCCATTTTACACAAGTATAATTTTTTGTTTTCTCTGTAAGTAGACAAAATGGAGTGTTTCCATCTTGGTCTAGGAAGTAGGTTATAAAGTACATACGTATTAATGGAGAAGATGGTCTCCTTAATTTTGTTTTGCAGAAAAGGTAGAGCTCAGGGCTTTGGTACGTACCTAGTGAGCACTTGAGTTCCTGTGTCGGCATAGCAGAGGCTGATATAAAAAGAGTTCCCTGGCTGTGAGAGTGGAGAAGCAGCCTCTTGGTTCTTTGGAGCTCTAACCTTTCAGATGACTTGTATACAGACTGCTTGTGCTTGAAGAGGATTGGTAGTATTTCAGAGACATCACATTGGGATACCCTGAAAGAGGTAGTTGTTGGAGGTTTGTGGAGGAAGGCTAGAAGTTCAGCTGTCAAGGTGCACAGTTGGATTCAGGCACCACATGTGCTGCATACTGGGCCCTCTGGGGCCACATATGGCAACACATGTATGGGCCAGTGTCGTTGACTGCTTTGTGTCATGGCACTTTGATTTCAGCGGCCTTTATCTCCGAGTACCAGACCAAGGTAAAACATTGCCCACAGATCCTGCTGACTGAACCAGAAAGGAGAAAACAGGAGTGAGGAAAGAGCAAGCAGAGGCGAGAGAGAGACTTGAGCAGGTGTCACTACCCCCATGTCAGGTGCCACCAAGCAACATCAGGACCAGAGACTGGCCTTTCTTCCTTTCCTTTCCCCTTTCCTTTCCTTTTTTTTTTTTTTTTAAGATTTTACTTATTCATGAGAGATAGAGAGGCAGACAGAGAGAGAGAGACATAGGCAGAGGGAGAAGCAGGCTCCATGCAAGGAGCCTGATGCAGGACTCGATCCCAGGAATCCGGGATCATGCCCTGAGCCAAAGGCAGATGCTCAACCACTGAGTTACCCAGGTGTCCTGAGACTGGCCTTTCTGTTGTATCACAGGAACTCATGAAAATTAGACTGTTTGCAAGTGTCTGGGAAGGGAAGTTTGTGTGTGTAGATAGATTGTTACACTTCTAAAGAGCTTTGTGAATAGTGTAGAAGAATTCTCGGTTCAGAAACAGGTCAAGGTGATCTATGTCTCCTGGCTTGCCTATTGGAGACTCTCTGAAGGGAGGTTGCATCCTAACGTGAGCCCTCACCTGAGTGTCATTTTGGGGCTCTTCATTTTGGGCAGGGCACCGGTAAACATGGCCACAGTCCAGTGCCTCTCTGGAGGTGAGAACCATTGGCACACCCTTGATCTCTGCTCTAATATTTGATATCCTTCAGGTGGAAATGTCCTTGTGCTGTTCCTAATCATAAAATGATTTCCATCTAAAACTGTCAATACCCCTGTATGAATCAAAACAATAGTGAGGACTTATTGCCCCCAAGAGTTGTTTGCAAAGAGTGAGCATAACTTTGTCCTTTTTGAAGATGTAGCTCACAGGCTGCATGTGTCTCCTGGCTTCTTATGAAGGCCACTGTGTGCCACCATGTCTTATCCCCCATAGTACATTTTATGGGAGTCCTTTTAGCTTGGCTTAAGATAGAAGAGCAGTCAGTCTTTTTTGTTTGTTGGTTTGGTTTTTCTCTATTTGGTCTTGAAAGCTACGGGAAATTGTTCTCGTTGAAGAAGTGTGGCTCATAACCTATCTTCCTGCTCTAATTCTACCTGTCTTTATTGTTACAGGTCCCAAGTCTTTGCTTAACTTGATGAAAGGTACATTGCTCATCTGTCCCAGTAACCTTTGGTTTTACAGATTTTGAACAAAATCTGGATTTTGAATTACTGGGATAATAATGTGTTTCATGGATACGCTTATAGGCAATATAGGCATTTTGAATGGCTCTGTATTTCTCATTTGCAAATGAAGGACATTTATTGCTGTGATGAAGCAAATCTTATTTGGGCCTATTTATCAGAGTGTCATTTGCCTTTTTTTTAAGTAAACTTTTTTTTTTTTTAAGATTTTATTTATTTGATACAGAGAGAGCAAACATAAGTAGGGGGAACAGCAGGCAGAGGGAGAGAAGGAGAAGCAGACTCCACGCAGAGTAGGGAGCCCAATGTGGAGCTCAATCCCAGGATTCCAGGATCATGACCTGAGCTGAAGGCAGACGCTTAACCAACTGAGCCACCCAGGCGTCCCCTAAATAACTTTTTTATTTTAGAATAGTTTTAGATTTATAGAAAAGTTGCAAAAATAGTACAAAGAGTTCTAGTATACTCCACCACACACAGTTTCTCCTGGTGTTAACATCTGTCTTGTACTGTGGTAGGTTCATCATTATTAATGAACCAGTATGGATACATTATGATTACCTAAAGTCCATATGTATTCAGATTTCCTTAGTTTTTATCCAATGTTCCAGGATCCCATCCAGGTTGCTATGTTATAGTTAGTTATTTTGTCTCTTTAAGCTCCTCTAGACTGTGAGAGTTTCTCTGACTTCCCTTGTCTAAATTCCTGACAATGGCTATTGACAATCACCATGCATTTAACCAATGTTGCCCCAATTCACTCTGCCGTGTTATGAATGTGTTATGGTCTTTTATCTTCTGTATGGTATATTCCTCTGACCTGTTGGCTTGAGATTCTTTATATTTTATACGTGAAACTGAGATTTTAAGCTGGTTTGCAATTTTCTCACTCCTATAGGTTTCCAGAGGTATTTTTTTCCTAATTTCATATCATTACAGCAGAAACTATTAACTGGAACAAACCTGGAATCAGAGCTTTTTGCCACTGGGATCATCCTTGAGTTAACACAGACTTGTAGTGAAAGTAATGGATTTTCAGAGTGTCTCTGAATGCCTACCTCTTTACTTTGGTTTCCTCATTTTACTCTTTATATATCAGATATATAGAAAATGATACTTCTCAAAGCTTGATTGCCCTTTCCTAAAACAGAATTTTCCTATTGTTGAAGAGGAAGAGGAGAGAGTCATTTTCCTTGGTGTCGCTCAGGCGAGCAAGGTTCCACGTACTGCAATGAATGAGGAATTGAGGGGCTGTGCACGGGGAAGAGTGGGGCTCAGAAGTAGTAGTGGTGGTTACAGTCCAGGGAGAGAGAGATGCTGGCTGCTTCCACCACCAGATAGCAGCTAGTCAGACACAGGAATAAACAAATAAACGACCCAGGGACTAAGTGCTCACGGGTGTGTAAGTTGTAGAATGGCTCCAGAGAACTTCTGATGAGAATTTTCTCATAGAGAGAACTGGATTGCAGTGTTTGCAAATGCGTTTTTCCTGGATCTGTTCACTGATGCGTTTCCTGTCTGTCTCACAGAAAACGTCAGTAATGAAGAGAAAGCCAAAAAGAATGCGACCAAGCCTCTGCTGGATGAGATTGTGCCTGTGTACCGGCGGGACTGTCACGAAGAAGTGTATGCCGGTAGCCACCAATACCCAGGGAGAGGAGTCTACCTCCTCAAGTTTGACAACTCCTACTCTTTGTGGCGGTCAAAGTCGGTCTACTACAGAGTCTATTACACTAGATAAAGATGTTACAGAGTCTGGAGTCTAGGGTGGGGCAGAAGACAGCGTTTAGTTTGGAATTTCTTTTGACTTTGTGGAGCATTGCAGTCAGTGTTTACCCTATTGATTTTGGTCTGATGGCTGGTGAACTCTTGTGGGGACTCAGGGTTCCCTTGAAACCCTTTAGCATTAATACTCTGGGGTTAGGGGATTCCTCAGGCCCCTTGAGCCCTTGGGTGCTGACCACCAGAGTCACTAGTGGATGCTGAAGTTACAGGAGCTACGTGTTAAATCTTTAAGGTCTCCAAAATAAAACCTCCCCACGTTGACCCCACCTGACTGATGGTGAGTCCATGCTGCCTGCTCCATGTGTTTTACGAGAGCCCATAGTTACAGTGACCTCTGATGGGAAATCCTCATGTCAGTAGTCTACCTGAGGTGCAGCTGACTTTGAGGAAGGTCGTCATTTTTAAAAACTGAAAAACTCAAGACCTCACAGATTATAATAGAAAAGTTGCCTCAATTTGATTTTGTTTTGAACAACCCAGATTGTTTCTGCTTTGAGTGCAGCTTGTTCAGTTCAGAGTTGTATTACAGAGAATTATTTTCCAAGATCTTAAGAATGTTCAAAGCTGATTGTTAATTGAACTATGAAGACACCTAGAACACCTGAGACATCTGTCTTAGCAAGCCTCTGCTTGGTCCTTTGCTCTTCCTCTGGTACTAGTACACTACCAGTAACAAAGCAAAATTCTTTTTTGTCTCAGTTGGGCTTTATCGAGCATCTCAAATTTAAACTGTTTTCTACACAAGCATATAGTTACGGGTTTTGTAAACTCAAATTGGCACCTACTGAATTAAAATATACAATATCACTTAAATATAATTCGGTGTGTGGGGAATAACATTGCACTAAATGGAAATCACTGCCAGAGACAGTCCATTTTCTTTTCATGTGTTAATACTTAGGTACAAACCCCTACACAATTCCAGTTTGGAATTGCTTACTAGAGAGAATTGGAAATGCATATGCCCATGCTTAAATTGTTTTAGAGCTTTAATCTGTATTATGTCTTTAGAGATGGGAAGAGGTACATCTTTGTTTTCCTTACTGAAAACAAATATGGATTAATTGCCTCATTTGTATAAGTGATCGACTAGTGTAGAGATTCTTGTTTTCAGAAGGGAGGGTGGTATAGCTAGAAAGCGACAAAGACGGCAATACACATGTAATGTTACTGTATGTTGTTACTGAAATACTTAGATTTTTATAATTTCAAATCATAAATCACTTCTCGTAGGAGGGTCTCTGTTGATTAGCTGCGTTATATACAGTTCACTACGTAAGGGGCTGTTGGTTTTTGTGTGCTGCATTTCTGTCTGTTTTTTAATACCTGGTTTTGTACATACCTAACTGTTCCCTTTTGGTTATTCAGAAACTGGATTATTTTCTCCTAAGCAGTGCTTAATTTGTGTTTTTTAATTTTGATTCACTAGTTCCAGCTCAAAGATGTCCACACTGTTCTGTCCAGAACACTTTCAGGCTCTCCATCAGCTCTCATGTATATATGGTATAGAAACCATGGGGTTAGGCACTTCTTGCTTTTTTTTTTTTTTTTAAATGAGAAAATACTGTATTTAAAATGTAAAATAAACTTTTAAAAAGCAGGCACTAATATATATTTCTTCCAGCCTTTGATTACAGATTTGTCCTTGCACATGTTAAGATGAATTATCTTCTAAAAATATCATTGTTCTTGGGAGCAGTGTATGTCACTTTACATAGCAGTGGTTCCTGTCATGTGCTCATGTCAGAACATTTTTTTGGTTTTAAACTTTTTTATTGCCTTTGGCTGTTGATTAGTACAGTACAAGTGCGATTTCAAAAAGATCTTGAAAATAATATATTTAATCAATTAAAATGTTTATCTGTAACCGGTTGATGTTTCATTAATACAGTTACTCTCTGAAGTGTTAGTTTTGTATTTCTTCATTTTGGAAGGATGAGAAGAAATATTCCAAAAGATCTTTTCTGTTTTAAAAAGTTGAAAACCAACAGCAGACTATTTGTGACTAATTATTTAATTTTTGCTGTGAATTACCCCAGTGAGTTAAGATTTTAAAGTTTTCAGACTTCTTCGTGGAAAGGAAAGCACTACTTTTTCTTAAAAGGGACTTATAAAATTATTTTCCCTATACAACCAGAAGCATAGCATATTCCTTGACATACACGGGGACCACCTGCTTTAAAATAGTTTCTGAGGTCTGGTACTTGGAAAGCAATAATTAGAGGAGTGCCCCAGTCAGTATAATGTGGAATGCCAGAAACTATTCTAAAAATGACCCCACTGAAATGTGTATCGACCTGGACATCAAATTTCATTTGCTTGTTTGAGATTCGGAGAGAGAGAATGAGTTGGTCATCCTGGGATTTTATCACTGTGTTGGGGTACTGTGAAGCCAGACCAGAAAGTACTTAAGGAGAACTGTTGATGTGTGTGTGCATCTTTGAAGCCATGTGACTGAGTCTTGACCATCTGTCTTGTGGAAGAGGAGAAGCAACCTATTCAAAATAATAAGTGATTGCTAATAATTCATTATTAGCTTGGAGTGCACTATCTACAACCAAAACCATCTTTGCACTCTTTCCCCAGCCTCAATTCATCACCTCCATCAGAAACTTAACAATGTGTGCATGTGATCTTGGGGTAGAGCAAATCTTAACTTTATTTCTATGCACTAATTTTTCAAAATGTGTATAAATCAAACTTGGACTTTTATCTCACATATATTCTTCTACAAGTCTTCCACTTTTTCTTGAGAGCTTTTTTTTTTTTTCTTGAGAGCTTCTTAAGATCAAGTTGATTACTGTCCTTTCAATACCCTTCTTTTGAATTTATTACATGGTTATTATTTCAGGTGCTTATTATTTTGCTTGACTTTGTAATGAAAGAGGTATTAGCTCCATTTTTATTAGTTGACATGCCACTTTTAATAAGTTATGATTTGATTAGGATACTTAATGTAGTACCAGGAAACGAAGTGGTTGACTTTTCCAGAATTGACCTTGGCGTTTGGACTTGGGCCATCAAACATGGGGGGAACAGTATAAATTGGAGCAGTCAACTTTCTTGTAGTTTTAACAAAGTCTTGAGCGTGATTGCTCTGTTCAGCCCAGTGCTGAACTCATGACTTGTGAGTCTATGGAAAGAGCAAGTACAAATGTGATTACGAGTGCTGATTTTTTTCACCTTTAATGTCCTATCTATATGGTTCAAACAGTTTTTACCCTTTGCCAAAATCCTGAACTTAAATGTCTCCAATTGAAAGTGACATAACTTTTTTTTTTGTGACAAAATAGATGTAGACATGTTTCTCATAAGTTCTGCATTTTGCAACTTTAAAAATTCTGGTCTGTGTTAATGGGAAGTTTTCCCTTTTTACTAAGTATAGGCCTCCTGTGTTCTGCTGGATTTCTTCCATAGAGTGGTTCTTTGGCCATTTTTCTGTTAATTGAACATTTTAGGTTACTTGTGATTTTTTTATAAGTGATGTGTCAGTAAACACTCTTTTATATGTCTTTCTGCACATCTGCATGAGTTTTTCAAGAGTGGAATTACTGGATCACGCTTTCTGTGCATTTTTGATTTTCATACACCCTGCCACATTGTCCTCCAGAATGGCTGAACTGATTCTCCTCCAGCTCCATAGTGTGGGAGAATACACTTTTTGCCCTGTCAACACTATATTACCACACTTATGTCTTGGTTCATCTGATGTTGAAAGATGAAATTTTCTTTTACTGTGTGTTTCCCTGGTAACTAGTAAGATTAAGCATCTATTTCTATTGGTCAGTTGTATTTTCTCTCATAAATTCCCTGTTTGTGTCCTATACCCATGTTTCAATTAGATAATTTTATATTGATTTATTGGTATTAAAAATACAGCTTGTATACTAATGCATTATATATAAGTAGTTTGTGCCAGTTTATTGCTACTCTGTTAATTTCATTTGTGGTCTTAGGTCTGTTTATATATGCCTATATTTGGTCATAGACGTTATAACCTAGCTTGTCAGTTTCATTCGATTTTTTCCTTTATGACTTTTATTTCCGTATGTGTGTGTGTGTGTGTGTATAGCCTGAGTGGCTTAGCGGTGTATACACACACACACACACACACACACACATATGTGTCTGTGTATATCTGGTTCTAAACTCTGTTCTATTTATCTGACCATTTATCCATTTATGTGCTAATACTGTAAATTACTATAGTTTTTTTTTGTTGTTTTTTTATTTATGATAGTCACACACAGAGAGAGAGAGAGAGAGAGGCAGAGACACAGGCAGAGACAATGGCAGAGGGAGAAACAGGCTCCATGCACCGGGAGCCCGACATGGGATTCGATCCCGGGTCTCCAGGATCGCGCCCTGGGCCAAAGGCAGGCGCCAAACCGCTGCGCCACCCAGGGATCCCTACTATAGTTTTTAACAAGGCAAATCTCCCGGTGTTTTTATACTTTTTCTTTTTTTTTTTTTTTTTTTAAGGCTTTTATTTATTCATGACAGCAGAGAGAGAGAGAGAGAGGCAGAGACACAGGCAGAGAGAGAAGCAGGCTCCATGCAGGGAGCCCAATGTGGGACTCGATCCTGGGTCTCCAGGATCACACCCCGGGCCGAAGGCAGCACCAATCCACTGGGCTACCCGGGCTTCCCTTTCTTATCTATTTTTGAACCTTTGTTCTTTTTTTTTTTTTTTAAGATTTTGTTTATTTATTCATGAGACACAGAGAGAGAGGCAGAGATACAAGCAGAAGGAGAAGCAGGCAGAGGGAGAAGCAGGCTCCATGCAGGGAGCCCGACATGGGACCTGATCCTGGGTCTCCAGAATCATGCCCTGGGTGCTAAACCGCTAAGCCACTCGGGCTGCCCTGAACCTTTGTTCTATATGAACATTTAATCATTAGCCTGTCATATTTCATGAAAAATCTTGACGGGATTTGCATTGGAGTATTGCATTATTTTCTAGGTTGATTGAGAGAGCTTACATAGTTTATTTTTTTTAAAAGATTTTATTTATTTATTCATGAGAGACAGAGAGAGAGAGAGGCACAGACACAGGCAGAGGTAGAAACAGGCTCCATGCAGAGAGCCTAAAGTGGAACTCGATCCCCGGTCTCTAGGATCACACCCTAGGCTGAAGGGCAGCGCTAAACCACTGAGCCACCCTGGCTGCCCAGCTTACATAGCTTTTATTAAAAGATTGGTAGTTCCATGTTCTTAAATGGAACTAGCAGAGACGGAAGGCACAATCCTTAAGTGGTCTTCCTGCCAGCT